AACTGTGCGCCGTACCTTGTACTAAAATAAGAATTGCTTTTCATAAAGAGACTCGATGCATCTGGATATGAATATCCCGTGTCACAAACATCCTGTCAAGTAGCGAATGCGTGAGATAAATGTTTTAATAACTGCAAAAATGTCCAAAAACTAACTGGATTGCAAATTAAACGCGAAAAGCCCGGGAGATCTTTGTGCATGTCTTGTCCACCACCATTGACAATTTGGGTATGGATTTTGTCGTGTGATTTGTCACGGGTAGTGATGCATTTAATGATATCATTTGATGGTCCATTTCGTGATTCTCTTGCCACCCGCATTTTATGTTTCTATTCACCTGCGTCAGCTACTTTAGATTATTATGCTGGTGTATTGGGTCCCCAGGACTTAATGTGACATAACCCCTATTAAAAACCCCTTTGGATTTTAATTGTTAAGTTCACGCATGCATGGGCTCGAATAGGACCAGAGCGCTTGGGCTTTGGGGCCTGAAAGTGCTGGGGCGGGCCGCCATGGCGGTCGGCTTGGTCAGAATTGTTCTTTTCCCGCTGATCCATGTCTTCACTTTCAGTATCGACAAGAGGAGATAAAGTTTTTCTCACATCAGTTCTCCGACAACTCCGAATGCCCTGGAGTTGAATAGAGAAGCCCCCTCGCTGCATTCTCAAGCTTCTCTCGGAAGAATGCCGAATGCCAAAGGTTGGTTGATTGGAAACGTGCTGGTGCATTTGTGATTGCTGTGTCCTCTCATTGCCTCTCGATGCAGTCGTGAGTGTTTTGACGTTGGCCTGTGGACTGCTGACAACGACTTTCGAAGAAGCAACCGATGTTGGGTGCGCCGATTACCTTGCATTGATTCTCTCTAGGAGTTGGAAACGTTTGCACAAGAGGCTTATTGTACGATGTTGTTTTCTGGAAATGGATGTTACATTTATGAGTCGCTTGCCATAAACAATTGTGTGCTCATAGGTGCTTTTCTAATTCAGGTAAGCTATTCGCGAGCAAAAAGGACTGGCTGATACCGCTTGAAAGGCGAATTCTCTCATGCATTATTTTACGGCACAGTTGAAAGCTGTTGATGAGGAGCATTACTAGATGCGAGAGAGACCACCGCCTCGCTAAAGTATCGCAATTTGTTCGCGGCGGGGGCCTTGGGAGCATGAACAAGTCAGATTGTTGCTGCATTTCTTCTCGCAATATTTGTTTCCTGACACGGCTACTACTCAACGTTTTCACAATCCACAAACATTTCTGATTTGCCAATGCCTGCCTGTGACATCCACGTCGTCACCTCTCGGGCACTCGGTGGCAGCTGGCACGCCTCGTGCGCTGGCTTCACCCTGACCCTCCTCCGCCTGTATGTGAACGCTGCTAGGACCAACTGCACTCTGCTGCTGTCCTGACTTCTGCTGTCCGCGTGCTGTCTGCCCGCCCCGCCTGCTCCACGCATGTGTCCCATCTCTTTCCACACATCGGCTCCACTCGTGTTCCCCGGCTGTCTCACGACACGACTGTGTCCCATCCGTGTCCAGCCTCTGCCTGCACATCTGTCGTGAGCCTCCGATCTCGCTCTGTCACACGCCTGCTCCTCCTCCCGTCGCACCAGGGCCTCTTCTGTGTGTATTTACCCCCAGCCCAGCCGCTGCCTCCGCCTGTGCCGTCTGCGCTCCCAGCCCAGCCGCTGCCTCCGCCTTGTGCCGTCTGCGCTCCCAGCCCCAATGCCGACCTCTCCTCCGAGCCGCCTTACCGCCAGCCTCGTCTCAGCGGTGGCCTGGCTGCTGAGCCGAGCTCGGCTCGAGCCGGCCGTTCGCGGGCGAGCTCTGTCTGAACTGAGCCGGCCGCGTGGGCGGATCGACCGGCCAGCCGATGTGCCAGCCCTCCCCTCCCCCCCCCCCACCCCACCTCCACCAGCACAACCTCATACCCACAACCGCGGAGCTCCTGCCGGCCGGACGGACGGCGGTGGGGAGGGAGCCAGTGGTTTGAATCGGGCAGGATTTAAAAGCCAGCTCATGACGCTCGGGCCGATGAACGGTGTGCTGGAAGATCAGGGCACAAGGTCAAGCGAGGGAGATTCTGTGAGGCAGATCTCGACCAGTTTTTTTGCTGTGCCCGCCTGTAAATAAAGCGCGCGTACACATAGATAGTGCAAATGGAGCGGTACATCATCGGGTGAAGACTTGGTCATGTTGCGGTGCGATTGGCTTAAGTATAGTAAAGCGCGGTGGCTTTTCTCATTAAAGTGTGTGAGAGGCCTTTATTGGAAATGAGACTGCTTTGCCACCGTGCGCACTTGCTCATAACAATCGGGCCCGGTCCGAAAAGTGGTAAGACCAGCCTGCATGCGGCCGCCGCCGGTACCAGATGTTGCTTTCTTCGCCAACTTACTTTACACTTGGCCTATACTTGGCTCTGGCCACATCACTGTACCTTCCGCTTTGCCCACATTCGCTTAGCTTACTGGACCTACCCCCAACTATTTTGCATGTTTATTTCATCGTATTGTACATGCCGCTTTCCTTTTGTGGATAGTCTCGGCAGTTATTAGCAGCATTTATGTAGAGGAAATGCCGCGGGTTTGTGACTCAGTCTCCAGCCGGGTGTGCTGTTGTAGGTTCTTTGTGCGGCGGCGAGTACGGCCGGGCTCTCGTGGTCACTAATTTCGTGGGAGATGGATGGATTAAGACGGTCTGGTTGTTAGAGGCGGTCTTCTCATCGGTCGCCCGCCTGACTGGCAACTTTCTAGCAACTTCCCGCGCTCCTGACACGGTTAAGGACGCAGGGGGTGTACCCAGCTCGGGGGGCGACGGGTGCAGCAGCAGATCGGCCAGGGGCGAGGGGTAGTCAGGGGCTTGCAGGACAACGGTGTCAAGAGGTACCTCGGATTGCAAGTCAGGCGGAGCGACCGGTGAAAGGCCGCCTCCGTGCTGACGCCTGGCCCACCCGTGGTGACGCCTGCCCAGAACCGTGCTGACGCCCGATCCAACCGTGCTGACGCCTGACCCGACCGTGCTGAGGCCTGGCCCGGCCGTGCTGACGCCTGCCCCGACCGTACTGACGCCTGACCCGACCGTGCTGACGCCTGACCCTATCGTACTGACGCGCCCGGCCCGACCGTGATGACGCCTGACCCGACCGTTGCTGACGCCTGACGTGACCGTGCTGACGCCTGACCTGACCGTGCTGGTGCCTGACCTGACCGTACTGACGCCTGACCTGACCGTGCTGACGCCTGACCTGACCGTGCTGACGCCTGACCTGACCGTGCTGACGCCTGACCCGACCGTGCTGACGCCTGACCCGACCGTACTGGCGCCTGAACTGGCTGTGGTGATGCCTGACCTGATCGTGCTGGCCCCTTACTCGACCGTGCTGACACCACCGCTGCGCGGCAGGGCTCGGACGAGACGTACCTCTCCAAGCTGCACCAGGAGTTCGAGGCGCATCCGTATTACAATCAAGGGCGAGGACAGGAGAAAGTGGGAGTCGGAGTTCGGCGTGTGTCACTATGCTGGCCGCGGTCACCTACAACATCACCGGCTTCGTCGACAAGAACCGTGACTCGCAGCAGGACCTCTTCTTCGACTTCATGAGCCGCTCCAAGAACAAGTTTGTGGAAGAGTTGGCGCAGTTCCAGGTGCGGAGAGGGCGGACAGGCACGCGCTGTCGGATGCCAGCATCTCTCTTCGCTGTTGCCATGGCGACAGTGCGTCCAAGTAGGACGCCAACTTTTGCCGATGCGCTTGCCTAAAGCACCTTAAACCGACACAGTTAACTCCCAGCTGCCCATGAGCGCGTCATATGCCGTGTTCGCGGGGCGCGTGTAACGCCGGCAGTTTGCGCACCCGGCGCTGTCTCGGTGCTCCTGCCGCCTCCCACACCGCGGCCGAGCGGCGGAGTGCCTCGTCAGCGCCGGCCGCCGGCACCTAACGCTGGTCCCGCACCTCCGCCAGGACCTGCTGAGCTGCATGTCGCGCACGGGCACCATGAGCAGCACCGTGTCGCGCGGCACCTCCAAGGGCAAGCCGACTGTCAGCGACGCCTTCAGGCAGCAGCTGCAGGCGCTGGTCGACCTCCTGCAGAGCAGCAACCCCTGGTGCGCGGCCAGGGTCGGGACTGAGACCCCGGGATGCTGATCAGGGGCGCGGCTGCCCGGACAGGACAGACATGGCCGTAGGCGTTCTGTCCGTAGTATACTGACTGGATAGCCGCTGCTTCGTAGTTTCCTTGCCCTTGTTGCATCGCAGCGAGTATTCGTCGATGTCGACGTCGTGTTGACATCAGAACTTTAATGTTTAAAGGTTAGTATTAAATTTAAGTCTTCAAAGCTTGATAGAGGTATTTCATTGGCAATGTTTGCGCTTCTCGTTTCATCTTCTTGTGCTACTGAACCTCATGTGTAACTTCTGCCGTTGTTTTGTAATCAACACATGAGGTAACCGTGCAAATGGCTTTGTGTTAACACAAGGATCATTGATGTCCTAAATCCGAGCCCTGCCTTGAAAGCTGTGTATCCACGTCAGAGACAGGCACCGCTAGACTGTTTTAGGTCAGAACCATTACCCAGCCGGCACGTTGGCTTCAGGTACGTGAGGTGTATCAAGCCGAACGGCAAGAAGCAGTCTCACTGCTACGACGACCCTCTGGGTGGACCAGCTCAAGTACCTGGGCATGCTCGATATCATCAAGATTCGCAAGCAGGGCTTCCCATCCACCTGCCGCTGCTGGAGTTCTGCCAGCGGTACCAGTGTCTGACGGGGCGTCGGTGGAAGCAGCAGACGCGGCGGAGGGCTGCAGGTCAGTAAGGGCGGTGTCAGCTGGACCAGTGTCTGACGGGGCGTCGGTAGAAGCAGCAGACGGCGGCGGGAGGGCTGCAGGTCAGTAACGGACGGCGCCAGCTGGACCAGTGTGTGACCGGGCGTCGGTGGAAGCAGCAGACGGCGGTGGAAGGCTGCAGGTCAGCAAGGGACGGTGCCAGCTGGACCAGTGTTGACGGGGCGTCGGTGGAGGCAGCAGACGGCGGCGGAGGGCTGCAGGTCAGTAAGGGACGGCGTCAGTGGACCAGTGTCTGACGGGGCGTCGGTGGAGGCAGCAGCAGACGGCGGCGGGGGTCAGGTCAGTAACGGCGGCGCCAGCTGGACCAGTGTCTGACGGGGCGTCGGTGGAAGCAGCAGACGGTGGCGGAGGGCTGCAGGTCAGTCTGGAGTTGCGCCAGGGATGCCAGTGTTTGACATGACCCCGATTGGGGCAGCAGGTAGCGGCAGTGGACCGCAGGTTTGTACTGAGTAACGCCGCACTACAAATTCGTGACGGGAGGGCCGCAGTTTATCAAGTACCAGTGGCGCCACACTGCAGCTTCGACTCGTTTACAGATAGCTATCCACGAGTTTTACCCAATGTACTTAAAAAACCTGGTGACAGAGCTGTTCAAAGAAACTTTCAGGAGACACCAGCTTGCGCAAACAGAAAGTTTCCATCGCAAAACATCACTAGCGCATCCGGTACGCTGTAGGCGGTCTACAGCCTGCCCGTGTTCAGCGGTGACCAGCACAATGCTCGGCTGTAGCGCCGCGGTCCCACAACTAGCGAGGTTCGCGGAAGCCAGAGCCGGTGTCCCGTGTCGATGCTCACGCACCGCGACCCCGCCCCGCCTGCTGACCACTGCGCTCGGCGGGCGGCAGGTTCATCATGAAGCAGCACGGCCTGCCGGAGCGGGAGTGGCAGATGGGCAAGACCAAGATGTTCCTGCGCCACTGTGTGCACGAGCCGCTGGAGGACAAGCGCACGGCGCTGGTGCACCGGTCGGCTGTGTGCGCGCAGAAGATCTACCGCGGCTACGTCCGGCGGAAAGGTGCGTCTGATGCCCTGCGGAGCAAGGAGCTGGTGCGGTGTTTCCCAGCCGGGTGGCGCGTAGAGGGTTGCATGGTGTTTTGGTTGGGTTGGCATGACTGTAGTTCATCAATCGCAGGCATTGATTGTATGCTGCGTTTGCTCATTTTTGTGATGTCGGGAGGCAGAAATGCACTGTTAAGCTGGAATGCGACAGTCTAGCCTCAGATTTTGGAATTGGTCAGAATTTTGCGACTTTTGGAGGTATTTGTCAGGATCAAGCCGACACGAAAGCCTCTGCGGGAGCCTCTGTGAGAGACACGTAATGTAGTGCTATGCTACCTACCATATAACCTATGGGATTGATGTCAGTAATCAGTATTCAAAATATAACGCCATGCTTAATGATAACATGAGTCTCAGAAAAGCTCGTCCTCAAACGTATTTCTACATGGTACCACAAACGGCAGTGGCGTGTGCTGACGTGCTGGTCTGCGCTCATGCGCTGATGGCGTGCGTGCTCTACCGACGAGACGTCTCGGCACCGCCCCCACCGGCGGTGGTGCTGCTGTACGGACTGTCCAGGGAGCCCCCCCCCCCCCCCCCCCCTGACGGTGCCCGGCCGCCGCAGCGTACCGGGAGAAGCTGGAGGCGGTGCGCTGCCTAACGCCACTACCGCGCCAAGCGGCAGCGGCTGCTGTTCTT